GCCTGGGTTTCTAATTGGATAGGCCTCGAACAAACACAGAATGAGAGGGAAGGACCCTGTTCCCCACCAGGGATGGTTGCAGGGATGAGCAGCAGATGGGTGCTGTCAGGCAAGTCTGTGAGGAGCTGTTGGCCGGCATTCCCAGTGGCCGAGCTGGTCTTGGTGCAGGGCACACATGCTGGCAGGTGTCAGAGGCAAGGAGGGCTTTGATGAGGGTTCGTGCTGCAAGCGAGGATTAATTGGCCTGTGCGAGCTGGGGGGCTCCACAAGTGTGTGGGGGCAGTGGGGAAGCAAACAGAGCTGATTGTCTGGGAGGGGAACGAGCAAGCCGCGGGGACCAGCAGCACAGCACTTGCTGTCAGTACTGGGAGCAAGCCCTCAGCAGAGATGAGAGGTGATCAGCTGGTCACTCAGCTCAGCTATTACTGGGATAATAGGCTTTTCTTAACATGAGCTGCATAGTTCATCACTCTCATGCCAAATGGTCCCGACAGCTGGGCCTCAGCTCTTTGAGCAGCAGCGAGGTGCCAGCCCACACCGCCTGCCAGGAGTGGCAGGTAGGGGTGTAGGGCCTTCCCCCAGCCTTGCCGTGCTGTGGAACAGAAGGCTTTCCCCTACAGTCCCACTGCTGTGCTTCCCAAGCATTTCTATGGGCACTGATGGGGGATGAGGAGAGTGGCAGCTCCTCACAGCACCAACAGAAGGTGTTGCTGCTATTTCTGTGTATGTCTGTCATGACAGATGTGCTGTGGGGTCAGAAGATCATTGTCCTGCTGGTATTTCCAGCCCCTGTTTATATATACCTCTCCTTGGGCACCCCTCCCCATGCTGTGTGTGAACAGTTGTGCATCTGTGGTACCATGCAACAACCCTGGTTTGGGAGGCTGCAGAGAAAATTACATGTGTATTTAGCTTGCAGAAGCCTCAGTGTATACTTAAGGCTCCAGGATTAAAATTTTAGATGGTGTTTGAATGTAGTCTACTGTCAGTAAGGAGGCTGTGGCTCTGCCTGGTAGTGAAATAGTAGCTAAAAACAAGAAAGAGTCGTGAATGCTCAGCACGTGCCCTGCACAGTGAAGCACCCAGGTGTTAAGTACCAGGGTGCCCAGTGCCTGGTGGCTCGGAGCCGTGTCCTACAGAAGCAACTCAAAGCTACCAGGCAGAAGCAGGAGAGGCCATTTACTTTCAAGCAATTGGCCGAGAGCCAGCGCTGGCACCCCTTGCAAATATAGCTATATTTGGTGTATTGCTGCCCAGAGACAAGTGCTGAAGGGAAGGGTAAGGATAAGAGGAAAAGCAGTGGTGTGAAAGCTGTCAACAGCGTGCGAACAATGTCCCCAGGTGTCTCATGAAAGGAGTAATAAGGGGTAAAAAATCATCTTGTGGAGTTGAATGGGTTCTTTCAATTTACAAAGTTCTGCTCTCCACGGCAGTTTCTTAAACCCAGCACGTGTTTATCAAAGATTAACACTGAGAAGCCGGTAATTTGTTTTTGCTCAGCGAATCGTATTTCTTCATGAAGTGAGTGCTACGTGGATATTTTTAGCAATGTATAGATTTTTTTTTCTTAATGATAACCTCAAACTAAAGTAATCAAATCCCATGTTTGGGGATTAATCTGATTCCCTGCAAGGCTATAGATAGAATTTTTTTTTGTCCTTTCTACCATGGTGCAGGTTTTACTCAGAGTAGATTATGGCTTTTCCTCCCACTAAAGCATCAGGTTTTCATCCTTGCCAGAGACGTAACAAGCACCGCTCATGTGGTCTTACATGGCAAGCTCTGCCAGCACAAACCTCAGTTTGCTTGGTGCAGCTGGAGAGAAAAAGGGACCTGCAGATGTGTATTGTGTGTGGTTCAGATATGATCACTTAGTCACATTCTTGCACTGGCCCAGTGCTACCAGTGATAACAAGGGTTTTGAGTAACCTTGCAATTGTCTTCGGGGTCCTGGAGGCCAGCATGGAAGGGAGAAAGGGGCACGCTGTAGTCCAGAGCTCTAAAGCCTCGGGTCCTTCCTTCCTGATCTGCCACAGATTTCCTTATGACCTTGATTCAAGCTCCATGAACAGCATACTAGTAATTTAATTTTTTTAACTTCCAAAGCTCTGATTTGTGGCTTACAGACCCAAGCATTGGAAGTAGTGTGACAGAAATATGGCAACTCACGTTGCTATGGGGTGATACAGCTCAGGCAGAAGATGGGGACTGAGGGCTGGTGCCAGCACCATGTCCTGTGCCAGGGCTGGAGTGGGCTGGCAGCTTCCCATGGGAAGCAGGCAGTTCTGTGGGGCCAGGATTTACCTGAAGTGTGATATGGTACAGGCACGTGTCACAGTGTGGGGGCCTAAAGCAGGACAGCTGTCAGAGAGGAGCCAGGGAGCAGCAATGGGGCAATAAGTTACCTGACTGCTTTTATATCCATTTAATAACTTCTGCTGAAGGTAAGGCAAGGAGTCAAGCTGGTTCAAACCCTGCAGTAATACTTCTGACTTTAAAGTAAATAAAAGCAAACCAAACCCTCCCCAGTGCCCTGCTGCGATGCCCCTGGTGCTCTCAAGCATCAGTGCACAGACATCTCTCCAGGAGCCCCCCGTGCTGCCCCAGGCTCATAGCAGCACCCCTGTTACCTCACTCCCCCACCAGTGCCCATGTCTGTGCATACGCTCACAGATGCTCGCTCACAGACTACAAAAGCAGCAAATATAATAATGTGATCCAACTGTTCAGTGCTAGGCTAGAAAGAAGTGTTTTTCTGCCATTATGTGAAAATTTAGCGTGACTGGAACAGAGTCTGCATTTGATTAGGCAATTTAAGAAATGTAAGAGACTTCATACTGTAGGGCAGTGCTGCAAAACAATTGCTCGGAACATGTTCTAAAATTGGTTTGCCTTCACCAGATTTCCATGTGTTTCTGCACAGCATCTCAAATGAAAATATGAAGAGTCACGTGGCAAGGGGCTGCATTTTGATACTGTAGTAAATAAAAGCAGCAGTTTAAACAATTATTCTAAATACTGAATTGCTTTTGAGAAGAGAAAACACAAAACTCTCCTTTTCAGTCTGGGAAAGACGTTTCATAACACATCCTTTGACTGTTGTTAGTTAATCTTTAATGCTTAACAAGATAATAGTAATCGTAACTTTGAGCTCAGGCTTCCTCTGGTTTTCCATGCCTGCATTTGTACACGTAATTGATTGTGGCCAGGAAAGTGGCAAAGCACATGGTCTGCATGTACAAAGAGGGAACCGGGTGGCCAGCTATCTTACTTGTCCATGCAGAAAAACCAAGGCTGGCTAAAAACCCCCTGTTCACTGGTCTCTAGAGGCAGTATTCTTGTAGGCAGGGCTGGCTGGCTGCTCCACATACTGATAATACCAGCATGGTGCTTAAGATGCTCTGATGTGATTCTTGCCAGCTGATAGTCTCCCTCTCCCCTCCCATTTTCCAGCAGCCATTTACCTTCTCTTTGAAGTGAGCAGTGCCACTTTGCCCAGCAGCTTGAGCCAGCAGACCCATGCCCAGCGAGGTGCAACACTGCAGCACTCCACATGGGGAGCACTGATGGAAAGAGGAGATGCTTTCTGGAGTGAGGTTGATGCCAGCATTGTTTGGGGCATGACCTGTTAGCTGGATATCTTAGAGGGCTCAGCACTGCAGTTGCTCTGGGTGAAGGAGGTTCTGGCATTATGTGCTCATGCACATCAGGGCTGAGACCTTCACTGTGCCCACACCTGCACATACTGGCTCCTACCTGTCCCAGCACTTCCTTATCAGGCACCGCCTAATGGTGCTGAAAGGAGTGGCAGCCTTGCTGTGTAAATCACATCAACCTGTGTGCACAGTGGGTTCTTGCTTCCCTTGCAGCTCTCATCCATGTTTGTAGCGGACTTTTAGAGGATGGAATAGGTGATACTTCGGTCTAGGCTTAGGGTTCTGTTTAAGGCTCTGTGGAGCACTTTGGTTGTTTCTAACCTATGTTCAAGCCTGTACGTACCATAAGTAATGAGATCTTTGCCATCTCAGTTTGAGACATCTGTAGTTTTCAGGAAAAAACCTCACAATTTGAGATTTCAGACTCAAAAGCACACAGAAAATGCCTGACACCCCATGCCCAGATGTGGTCTGGCAGCACACCCTGCATGCTCAGCCTGATGGGCTGCAGCCGCCTGCCCCAGTGGGATGGCATTGCATTCTGTGCTTTGGGGTTGGAGCTCTAACGTTGCCAGTTCTGCCCTTGACTGGAATCAATGGGGCCAGCGCAGAGAGTGCAACACAAACCCCAACATTCTCTCCTCTGCACCCTTCCTTGAATGCTTCTGTGAATAAGTACAGCCTTTGCTCAGGTGGTCTCAGCTGGGCATAAGCATTTTGAATTGATAGAACACAAGGCCTGCTGAAGTGGTGAATCCAGAGCAGGGTATGAGCTGAAGTGCCTGTGCTTTATCGCCTGCAGCTCAACCCCAGCACACTTTCTAGGGACCGTGTGCTTGCAGGAGTTCTGCACAACAGACAGCAGATCTGACTGTAGATATGAGCTGAAATCAAAGGTTGTTTGCAGCTGGAGGACTTTTGTATCACCCCGGTAAAGGAAGGTAGTTAACATTCACTCTCAAAAATTAACTTAAAATAAACATAATTGAAGCAATCACTTACGGTTTGCTCAGCATTTTATTTCCTTTCCAGCTGAAACTATCTTGCATTCAAGTAAATTTTTAATCGCAAGACAATTTAGCCCTCAACGTGCACCTAATCAGCCACTAAGCATTTGCATCATTAAAAGTCACCCTATCCATTTTGCAAGTGTTGTCAGCTTGTTCAGAGGAGAGGGGTGTGCTTTCTGTAATGTTAAAAGCCTGCAAACAACTGGAGTGTAACCAGCAATACCATAAGCCAATTAAGATGAAAGCTGTGATGCTCAGTAGTGGGGTTTCATCGCTAAATATTAAACCTTTTTTTTTTTTTTTTTGTACTTAGACATAGATCAAGAGGTGTTAATGCAGAAATCCTTAAAAGAAGTTGTGTTATCTTAAAACAACAGACTTGCTATTTGCACTTTTGTGCTCAATTAATGTCATAGCTCCAAACATCCTAAATTTTTCTTCAGAGAATCAGATGTTAAGACTGTTGTTAGGAGAAGTACGGATGGTGTGAAGCAGAGGTTACAAGCTGAGCGCGCCTCTCTAGGACAGAAACATTTTTTTCTTATCTATTTATTTATACATAACAATGCTGTAAGTTTTTAAAGGGACTTCAGTAATAATTTAATCATGCTTCTGTTGTTACAACCACAAATATTTTCCTGTGTTATTTGATAATTAGCTGAAGCAATTTGTCACTAAGCTCCACAATATGGATTTACCACATCATAGCAAATCTCTAGATTTAAATGTACATTAAATCTCTGTGTCAAGCAGTGCCTGCAGGATGTTACTGAAGTCAGCCTTTATTAACAGAAACATGTTTACAAAAGAACACGTCTGAAAAAACAACTTGCAATTGCATCATTAGAAAATCTGTGTGTATATATGACCTGAAATGGGAGAATGATCTCCTACTTCTCACATACCTGCATCTATATACCCACACGGGTTCATAAGGCAGTTGTTGTATTTTATGTAGAGAGCTGTCTGGTATGTAAACAAAAGAGAATTTGACACAGTGAGATAGAGAGGGACTAAAAATAGAGAGATGACAAAGAATTTTTTTCTCCCTTTCTGTAGAGTTCAAGCCATGCAACCCTGGGCTGTGTTGGTCATAAATATTGGCTCAGATCATACAAAATTGCTGTTTTCCTGTTCTAATGACCAGCACAGTTTGCCCTGCGGGGCCCTCGAGTGGCAGCACTGCAGGTACTTCGGGCCCTGCCTGGCCGAGGGATCACATCCGCGGTGCCTATGTGTGCTTTTTTACTGAGGGCTCAGGGCTCCATAGCAGGCCTGCACCATGGCTGTGTGTTTTGTGCTAAATGTTTCATCTTCCAAAAAGATGGACTCGTTTGACAAGTTCAGCAAGAGCCTGCCTGCCTTTTCTCACTACTGCTGGTGAAGGCAGAGCACCAGCACAGTACCAGTGAGCACAGTACCAGTGAGGCTGTCTGTGCCTCCTCCCACCTGGCAGCAGGTCCCACCAGCAGGGAGCCACCTGCAAAGCTTTGCTCCCATAAGCACAAATCCCTGCCAGCGCTTCTGCTAGCCTGGTGAGGGCCAGAATCTGAACCAGGCCTTTTGCAGCTTGTGGTTCTCAGCACATGAGCGATCTGAATATCAAAAGATAAGCCCTGAGGCTTATTATTTTTACCTAACTAGTCCTTGGGATACACACATTTTGGGAGGAAGGCAATGAAGACTAGTAGGTTCCCATTCAGAGACTGACATTACTTGGTTACAAGAGGAACTGTCTGTGACTTGTTCTCACCCGGCCAACGGAGCTCTTGTTTGTGATCAGAAAGCTTCAAGGCACTGATATGAGAAACTTCCTGAGCACCTGTGAGCAGGCGTTAGTGAAGGACTTCTCTTTAACTTCTGCCTTATTGGCAGAGTGGTCTCATTCTCAAGCTTACAGAAAGTTCCATGTCATTAAGCTTCATGCTCTCAGACATTCCAGTAGGGAGCTTCTCATGCAGGGTAAGGACCACAGAACAGTGGGGATTTCCTGCTTGGTCAGCACTCACAGCCCCGTGGGACTGAGGGAAGCCACGTCTCCAAACATGACCGAGCTCACGGAGCCACTCAGTGTGGTGCTCAGCATCACTGTTAGCACATGGCTGCAGGTGCCGAGGAGGTGTTGCATCTCACCTGGGAGCCTGGTTCCAGCCTGTGGGAAGGGAGGCAGTGCAGTCTTTGAAGCCTCTTTGTGTTATGTGTCTGTTTTTCAGCTTGTTTTTTATTGCAGCCCTATCCTCTTTTGCCTCACCAACCTCTCCCAAAGTAACTTTCAAGATATATTTTCCATTCTGACCTATCTCAAACTTCTGCCTGGATTTGCCATACCACGCTCCCATCTGTGCTTAGCATTTTGCGAAACGTTTATTGTGTTAAGGAGACTTATAATTTTGTTTTGAGCAAATAGAAGATATTGCATCAGTCTGGGTTGAAGCTATTTTGTGCAGCTCCTCTCCAGCTGGCTGAGTGCCCTTTCCCTTCCCCCTCCTCCTACGTGGCAGCGCACGCAGAGCTGACTGATGGAGTGTCACCCGCGCCTTGTCAGAGGCTGCAGAGATTAATGGGCAGGGAACAGCGGCCTCTTCCCCTTCATGTGTGATTGTTTGAAGGAACGGCTCATATTTTAACAGAAGCGATACCCTCCTCCTCTGGGTTCCCCCAGTCAGAGTTGAAGGATGGGACTCGGATCTGAGATTGAAGGGTGCCAGGCATAGGGTCTATAGGCATCTGGGCCCACTTCTGGCCACTCTTGCCTACCAGTGCTCAGCCTGAAGCTCGTTTCACTCAGGCTGCTCCCTCTGCACTGGTGTGGGCTTCTGCCAGCAGCTAACATCGCTACCTCTGTTCCTTTGTATTTGCAGACATGATAAGCAGTAGCACAGAGCAGATGCTGGAAGGTCTCTGATCTGTTCCTTGCCTTCCTCCCTCAGTGCCCGTGGCCAAGTCTCCCATGCTGCAGAAAGCAGTGCTTGCAACCCAGAGCAGCTCAGGTGCTTTGAGCTCTTTGCTCGCTTGTTGGCCTTGGTCACAGATTCAGCCCTGGTGTGTGCCTCAGTAGCCCAGCTGCAGAACAGGGATAGCAGTGTGGTAATTTCCAGAAGATTGCATTTGCCATGAATTATTTCCTAGCATTTCTAAAATTTATAAGAGAAATTAATTAGAGACTGGTCTGGATCCTGGCTGCAGAAAAACAATCAGACCCAGAGTGTGATTGTTTGCTACATTTTCTTGAGGGTAGACATTGCCAGCGTTTCATAATCAACTGTTCTGGTCCAAAGAGATACTTACTTGTTATTTGTAGTCCACAGTAGTGACTTCTATAATAGGTTTGACTGAAACAGGAATTACGTCTTTCACACCAGCATATCTGTGTGTACCAGAAGCATACACCTGGCTGTCATAAAGCCCTGCTCCAAGGGCTTCTCTGATTATCTGCAGAACAGCTGCTCTTCAAGTTCATTATCTTTGCAGTGGTTCTGATCTCAAGTTTGTGTCCAGCCAGCTAAAAGGTGCATTTAAATGCCTCTTAAAGCAGGTGCCTGTGTGTCAGTGTGTTAGAAATCAGGGTACTGTTCATTTTCTGGAAATAATTTAATGAGCAAAACATTAAGGAAACCTGAGCTGACCTGGCTGGGTATGGGTGGCTGACCCCATCCACCTCTTCTGTGTTCTTACAGTTCATATCTGGTGTATATTCAGAGTTCTCAGGTTTTTTTCTTGAGGAATCCGTAAATGTGGATTTGTTTCAGTTCCTGACGCAGTCTCTGGGGAAACACATCCCATGGCTTTACATTTACAAATGTTTGCCTTGTTTTCTAAGGAGTACGAGTTGGGATTACAGCGTGCTGAATTGTGACCCTGGCTGAGAGAACAGTCTCGCTCTTGGTGTACCTGGTGTTTTGGCTGTTTCTGGTTTTGTGACAGTGGTATTTTTAGGTCATGGCTGTAGTGACCCGTACACAGCAAACTGCCCTTTTGTTCTCGGCCTCCTTCTGAGTCCAGAACACAGTATTTGCTTTTGTAAAGGAAATTTCATGCAAGTTTCAAATTTGTTGCCCCCATTGAATTCTTCCTCGATGAGATGCTGTGAGGAAAGAGGAAATAAAGAAACTCTTCCTAATATATGCCCATAATAGCAGAAGTTGTACAACTTCCAGGCTCTATGCATTTTGCAGCCGGGATAAGGTCTCTTTGAGTCACAGTGTGCAGCCATGAACCACCTCATCTTCTATGCTAACTAAGTTTCCATGGCTGGGAGACCGTCTTGCTCCGTCCCTGCTTGTATTCATTCATTCTCTAAGAAAGCGAGGCTTCAGGGATGGCTTTTACTCAGCACTGGATAGATGTTCCTGCCCAGCATGTGCCAGTTAGGTGCCTCCCTGCCTCTCCTCTCCCTGGGACAGCAGTGGGGTGGATATTTGGAGTCTGCTCCAAAAAAGGGACCACGTAACCACAAATGATTTGTTATTGTGTGTGCTGAAATGTGCTTTCGCAAGAAAGAACTAATTTGACTAACTTTATTAATTCCAGTTTGTTTTAAGTTTGCTCATTAGTAATGTAATGCAAGCTGGAGAGGCCATGTCAGGACAAGGAGGAGCAGAGGGAAAGTGCCAGGAATCATTAGTGTTTATTAACCACTGCACTCATCAATCTTGAGTGAGAGCACAGCCCATCCGTTCTAGACGGGTGGACCTGGGATACAGGAATATCATTAACAGGGGAAAATGCTCCTTTTCAGGTCAGCCTGTGGTGGCCAGGCGTTCAGACAACACCCACAGTCACACTGCCCTCACCAAACATCGCCTGCACTGCCACTGGTCTCCTCGCAGTCTGACCTGAACTCAGAGAGCTCAGCAGCTCTGTGGATGGAAGGAGCCTTGCCCCTAGCCAGCTGTAGGATTAATTAACAAATACAGTTTTCTCAACCCAAGTAAACATTACTAAAAGGTTAAGTGTTGTTATGAAGGGGTTTTTTTTTAATTGCTTTTCAAATTATTAAATGATTAATACTTAAGTGCTTTGCTGGATCAGGCCTGGCACTTTGTGCTGGCAATGGATACATCTCACAGCAATTTTAACACTAAAATCGAAAGGCTTTTTTTTATTATTATTTTTTTTTCAGTTTAGAGGACGCATTTAATAACTGATTCCAGCAACTGCACGGCATTGGAGTGGTGACTCAAAGCTCTGACCTGTGAATCGGGGCTGAATGAATGCTTCCAAAAGGTTGGAGGAGGAAATAGTACTCCATTTGCCAGGTTTCTAATGAGAAATATAACCCTTGCCCAGACCACTTGTGGTTGTTACAGATCGCATTTCACTTTGAGATGTTTTCTTGCATCCTACCCAAATTGCAGCTTGAGTAGTTGAGTAGCTCACTAAAATATCTCTGCAGTTTAATTGGAGAAGCAATGTTTGCATTCCCCTCTTAAAAACTTCGCTGTATAACGCTGTGCTGCTATCACAATATGTGCTGTGTAATATATAGAGCATATACCAAACAAGCAAAAGCAAACAAAGCAAACCCTGAAAGCTGCTGGTGAGTTGCAAGTTTTTGGTGGTAGTTGTTGGAACTGGGGAAAGGCAGGATCTTAGGCAGCCCTTACAGCACCATGACTGGAGTCTCTTTGCCACACTTGCACATCATTCATCAAAACCTGTTGCACCACCAAGGCAGTGTTTGTGCATTTACTGTGCACGTGTGTGAACCACAACACCAGGCATCTGGTTCCAGATGAAAGGCTTTTGCAATGAGCATGTTAGGCTTAGCGTTGTGATGGCACAGCCTAGAAACAAGCAATAATTTTAAAACATGGAATGGCTGTTTAGACAGATTGTGTGTGTCATGACTTTTTGTGGATAAGATTTAGGCATTTTATGGGGAAAGGATGTTATTGGATGACATTCGGTGATAGAGGGGATGGAAAGAGATTGCAGTTTAATTAAAATTCTAATCCGAAGTTTGACAATTTTTCTTGCCAGGTCAGCAGCCTGCATGTTCTGTTTATTATTCCCATGAATTAAATGGGCTGGCAATCATCAGCTTCTTTGGAAATGCCTGTAAATCCCCCTAAAAATTAGCAAACACCCAGATGTTTCAGAGCAGCTTTGAGCAGGGATACGACATGCAGGGTTTTCCACCAACCTGCGCACAGGAGCCTCTCATAAGCACCACTGCTGGTGCCAGTGCTCAAATGCAAAGGAGATGCACCATTTGCAGTAGGAAGTCACAATGCTTGTCCTGCACTGTTGCAATCTCACGGCCCTGTTCCTGTTTTCAGGTAGTTTAACGGTGTCTCCAGGAAGGCAGCACCCATCATTCACCAGCCATGAGGCTTCCTCTGCTCTGCGCCTCTGTGATGCTAATGAGTCTGTCCCAGTGCCGAGCTGTCAGCTTTCCTGAAGATGAGGACCCTATTAACGTTGTTGACTACCACTGTAAGTAATCTGCAAATGGTGCCAGCCACTGGGGAAAGGCTTGCTTTTTTTTTTTTTTTTTTTTTTAAATCCTGGGAAGTTAAGAAAAAGGTCTGTTTCCTTTCAAATTGAAATGTGTTTACTGGCTTTGTATCTTTAATAGAACACTTAATCATTTTCTTAAAAAAGCAATCAGAAATACAGCAATAACTTCAGGAAAAAGAACGTTTGCTGACATTAGCCATCTTTCTTTCATTTATATTCAAGACATTACTCAAGGAATTTAGTTTAAACCCTTCTACACCTAGTATATACAGCTAATCAATGCCATATATTGATTCTTTAGCTCTATAATCCTGAGTGATGGTGTAGCCCACTTTTACTTGCAGATTCAAGGCAATATCCAGTATTTAGAGGACGCCCTTCAGGCAATGAATCTCAGCACAGACTGGACTTCCAACTGATGCTGAAAATTCGAGACACACTTTATATCGCTGGCAGGTAATTTTCCTTCAGTCAGTTCATTAGATTAAAATTCTTTTCTCTTCTGGTTTTGCATTAATGTGTAAAATTCATTTAGAAAAATCTGCAGAATATGATAAAAATTAGAAGTGGGGGAGAACTTCCCAAAGAAATACACCGTATCTATGACCAGCCCATGGAAATTGGATTTGAAGGCTGCAGTTACTGTAGTTACGCTAAACCCAGTCATCAAATACTCTTTTCCCTCTTTTATATTCCTGCCCTGATAAAAACTGCTCCTGATTATGTTAAACTTGGACTGACACATGAGGGACTCAGGAAATGAGTATGAAACACTTCAATGTTTAGAGTCCGGATTAGTCTTCAGCATAATGGAAAGGCATAAGGAAGAACTGGACAGTGTAAGTGCTATCTAAGGACCACACCAAGAGTCAGCACTGCCCTGTGCTGCCCATGTCCAAATCTCTCACATTTGTGTTGCACACAGAAAATTCATAAGCATTCCATAAAGCTTCTTGTCTAACAAAATAGATTTATCAAAACTAAGTCTAGCTAATTAATGAATTGATTTGTGTCTTTTTACTGCTTGCAAACAGGGATCAAGTTTACACTGTAAACTTAAATGAAGTTCCAAAATCAGAAGTTACTCCAAGCAGGGTGAGTAGATAACAGAATGGCAAAGGAGGGCTGTTTTTTTCTTTTTCCTTTTCCTTTTCCTTTTCCAAGACTTTTTTTGACACGAAAATGAAATTTTCTTTTCTGGTTTAATTTGAACAGAAATTGACATGGAGGTCAAGGCAGCAGGACAGAGAGAACTGTGCTATGAAAGGAAAACATAAAGTAAGTTTATCCATGCATTGTCATACACAAATGTGAATTATATAGTCAGAAATGCGATTAATACATTTTAATCTCTTTTCAGGATGAATGCCATAACTTCATTAAAGTCTTTGTTCCAAGAAATGACGAGATGGTGTTTGTCTGTGGAACAAATGCATTTAATCCTATGTGCAGATACTATCGGGTAAGAATATTGAATATGTCATTAAGGTGTTACTGGTTTTGCTTGCTCCAATTATGCTGTAGCAAATATAGCCAGTGTGACTGGAGAGTGTTTCAAGGTGAAATAAAACCAGACAGAAGCCAATTTGCCAAATTAAGTTTTGTGAAAAGACAATGTTATGTTTTTTGCCAGTATACAAAACAGAAATGACAGTGCCATCCATTTATTTTTCTTCTCTAGCTGAGTACCTTAGACTATGATGGGGAGGAAATTAGTGGTTTGGCAAGATGCCCATTTGATGCCAGACAAACCAATGTCGCCCTCTTTGCTGGTAAGAACTTTTGCTTGTAATGAGTCTGAATGATTAATGGCACTAAAGGAGCCAGGGAGCTTTTAAAGCTAGTACAGGAAAGCTAAAGGTGTCAAGGTGCCTCTGCTCTTAAATTTTTTAAAGGGCCTCCAAAGGATTAGAAGCTGACCTGTTAATAAATAGGTTAGATCAATTTGGGGAAGAATGGCAGTAAAATAAAAAGGGGCGGGGGAAATACGGACTAGTCAGAATTCTGTAGATTATTAAAGGCCTCTTAATGCTACATTTTCAACTTCTGTTTTAGATGGAAAATTGTATTCAGCAACAGTAGCAGATTTCCTGGCAAGCGATGCTGTTATTTATCGCAGCATGGGAGATGGATCTGCCCTAAGAACAATAAAGTATGATTCCAAATGGATAAAAGGTAATTTGGGAGAGTATCTTCCCATATACATGGTGAATGTAATTTCAGCAGCACAGAGGTCAGATAATTCACAGCCAGCGTGCTTTACACACATGCCACAGCATAGCAAACATGCAGCTTTCAATGCAGCACGATCACAGTAAAAAAGCACCTAATAGCCAAAAAGCAATTTTTTGTTGTTGTTGTTAAATGCATCAATGAGTGATACCTGAGCTGAAATGCAATTCCTTTGAGGCTTCTTTTTATAGTCTATTAGCCAACACTAAAGCCTTATGGTTCATTTGAGTGCACTCATATTTGGACGTCCTAAAGAGTCTGGAGGGGCGGAGGCAATGTTAGCTGGTATGGACCTGTGGGAGAAACCACTGAGCTGCACAGTGCAGCCAGTGTTGGATGCTGACTGAACAGTTCTTTGAAGTAACTTTCTCCTTGCTCTTTATTACAGAGCCACACTTTCTCCATGCCATAGAATATGGGAACTACGTGTATTTCTTCTTTCGAGAAATTGCTGTAGAGCACAATAATTTAGGCAAGGTGGGTATCCTTCCAGCAAGCTCTCAAGAGCCTTGGCAGAATTAGATCATCCAAAAAGTAGCAGTAACAAGTACAGCTTACAATGTGAAATAAGTCTGTAGGACCAAATTTATGCAGTTATTCCAAAATTATAGTTTACAGGCAGAGAAAAAAAACAACAGTGCATTCTTCTACCAAAAAGTTATTGGTATTCCTCATGCCTTGCAGTTAAGAGAGCTCTATGCAGGTATCTTTTGGTGTAGCTGTTGCCTTAACACATGTGACAGTTAATGGAATATCTGGGTTGGGTTTTTTTCCATGCTTATAAAAGAAACGAAAGAACACAAAAGAAGAGTTTCAAAGAAGTTTCTCTAATGTCCGTAGATATTGAATAATTCAGTCATACCACTGCAGAGTATAATGCTAATGCCTCACCATGGAAGGGCATTCTATAATAAATTATTAACTTCTTTACACATGGTTAATTAAAGTCTTTAAATCTCGCTAACAATATGATTTTGAATGGAAAAAAAGGGTGGGGATAAGCTGGCAGAGTTGCATTTGCTTGGCGATGCATTAAGATGCCTATGCACTAGCAGCTAAACATTGTTTGCTTTCTTCCTTTCTGCACAGATAAGTGGCAACTGTCTTCCTGTTAAAATGATCTGCAGTGTTTTATTAACAGCTCAGAAGCAAGCACTTTTGCCCTTGAATCTCTCAACCCTTCCTTCCTTTTCCATTTTTCCACCCTTCACAGGCCGTGTATTCCCGTGTGGCACGCATATGCAAAAATGACATGGGGGGTTCCCAGAGAGTCCTGGAAAAACATTGGACATCCTTTCTGAAAGCTCGGCTCAACTGCTCTGTTCCTGGGGATTCGTTCTTCTACTTTGATGTTCTGCAGTCTATCACAGACATAATAGAAATCAATGGAATCCCCACGGTTGTCGGTGTATTCACTACACAGCTTAACAGGTGAGAGATGAGCAACTTTACATCAAAGGTAGTTCTCTGGTTCTCTCTTGCACTGAGATTGGTGCTATTGTAGGCTGAGTTCTTGCAACTCTCTTTCTTATTTTACAGCATCCCTGGTTCAGCAGTGTGTGCTTTCAGCATGGATGACATTGAGAAGGTCTTCAAAGGGAGATTTAAAGAACAAAAAACTCCTGACTCTGTTTGGACAGCTGTACCTGAAGACAAGGTACCAAAGCCAAGGTAAAAAGTTTTTCCTCATGGTACTATAAAGTTGTCCTTGTAAAGAGATACTTTAAATCAGCTGCACTCTTGAGTGTTGTATTGGGTAAAAAAATAAAAAATAAAACAAGCAGAGCTTTACTCTTCAACCATAAGGATGCTCATTAGCAGGCTGCCTTCTCTCATTAACTGAAATACCAGGAGGGGAAAAAACAATGTTGTTCTCCTTTCAGACCTGGCTGCTGTGCAAAACATGGCCTAGCAGAAGCTTACAAAACCTCCATTGATTTCCCAGACGAAACATTGTCCTTCATCAAATCTCATCCTTTGATGGATTCAGCTGTTCCCTCAATCATTGAGGAGCCTTGGTTTACCAAAACACGCGTCAGGTATGACATCATTCAAAAAATGAAGCATGTGAAAACAAGAAAGCACGCTGTTTGTTAATGGTATGTCTTTTGGCCTTGATAGATACAGATTGACAGCAATTGCTGTAGACCACGCTGCTGGACCACACCAGAACTATACAGTCATATTTGTTGGCTCTGAAGCAGGAGTAGTACTTAAAATCTTGGCAAAGACCAGACCTTTCTCTTTGAATGACAGTGTATTACTGGAAGAGATTGAAGCATATAACCATGCAAAGTAAGTATTACGAGAACACCTGAAATATGTTGCTTTTTATCTAGTTTAGTACCAAGCTAAACAAAAATGATAGTGAACCAGAACTAATTTATTAATGCCAACCTCATTGCTTGTTTGTCATTTCACAATGTCTCTCATGTTGAATAACCTGAAAATATTTAGTTATTTGCCATTTAGCTTGGGTTGAGTGAACATTGTAATTCCACTGTAGTGACGTCAGTGATACAGTCTAATTCTTCCACAAATACACTTCTTCCTGAATATCAAACATCAGAACAATCTGTTGCTGTTAAAAAGAAATGATGAGAGCTTATCTTGAGTATTTCTCAACAGTAACCAATAATATATAAACTATATCTAATCGTTGTAAACTTGTTTATTCTGGAGTGAAGAATTTGGGAGTGGAAGCATTCCAGTTAGACTGGCACCCAGTTAGAACTCTTGTTCTGTGCTGTTGAAATATTTATGCCAACTGTGAGAAGAAAAAAAAAAAAGTATTTTGAACATGTGGGCAAAAAAATCACCTAGCTGTAAATAAGTCAGAAGCCAGCATCTGATAACCCATAGGTCTGTTTGCAAATCACTCAGCAGAGATTAGTAAGTTACATTTATATCTGTAAGAAGTCTAATTTCAGAATCTACATGGACAGTAATAAATAGTTTTCAATGTAAACTCTGACCAAAGTACTACTGTTAGTTGTAAAACAATGGCTTCCCCTTATTTTTGCTGACCAGGTGTAATGCTGAGAATGAGGAAGACAGAAGAGTCATTTCCCTTCAGTTGGATAGAGACCACCATGCTCTGTTTGTGGCGTTCTCCAGCTGTGTCATTAGAATTCCTCTGAGCCGGTGTGAGCGTCACGGGTCATGTAAAAAGTACGGCCCCGTTCCTGAGCTGCCCTTAAAGGAAGGGTGCCAACGTCTCTAAAGAAGGAAGTAAAAAAAATGCATGATTTTTTGGGTTTTTTCTCTTGCAAGGGCATGTATTGCTTCTCGGGATCCATACTGTGGCTGGTTAGACCACGAGGTGTGTGGGAGAGTGACACCAGGCATGCCGTAAGTACTACTTTTCAAATTAGGCCAACATCTCTACTATGTATTTATAGACTACACGGGGCTGTATTCTGTGCCTGTTCCCTTGCACTTTATTAATAAATCTCCATTTTTCCTAGAGCTGTTTTTCCATGTAAAGAGAACAGAATGCTTAAGTCCGACCTAATTATGCAATCTCTAGGAGAAGACTTCTTTTCAGTGGGAGTTTTCCGTGTGTGTGTGAGAGGACAAGCAGACTTGTAGGATGAGATGTTGGAAGCAGGAAGTCAACAAATTGCTGCCTGTAAACCTGTGCAGTTCAGATAGGGCAGTACACACCATCTCCTCCCAGGCATGCTCACAGTCAATTGCAAATAGGAAAACACAGGTTTCAGACTTGGAAAAAAAGCAAGGTTTTGCATCCACACTGAGGCTAGGTTGATATATATACATATCAAAGGCTTTTTGCACAAATCAAGTCAGTAATATAGAGTGCATTAGCAGCTGTATCTTAAAAGGAAGCCTCTGTAGCAGAGCAGCAAACTTCAGCCAGTATAATTGCATAGTTGTACCCAAAATCAAGAGTACGCCCAATGTAGAAGATTCAGTGAGGTTGTTATGAAGAAAATATGATCTTTTTGGTTTCCTAGCATAAGCACATATAGACAGTGTTAAAGTCCAAATATAATTAACTCGTATATTTTGTTAAACATGTTTTTTGGTCATACGCTGTAACTCTTGCCTCTCTAAGGTGACAGAACAAGTATGATTCAATTTCTTGCTTCCAGAAAAAAAAAAATCACCATTTGTTTCCCTATTAATACTGTTAATTGCAGGTTCTCTTTATTTGTTTCATACAACCATAGCACTGGAGGATATGTACAAGATGTGGAATATGGCAATACAGCGCAGCTTGGGGACTGCCATGGTAAGACATAGCCATTGCTTTTCATTTGTGATGTCTCAGCAATAGTCTGTGGCCACACCTCACTGTAGATGTTAAATTTATTACGAGCTTTTCAGTAACATGAACGCATCACCTGGTGTGACTGTGAATATTCACAAAGCTGAGCTTTTTTGGTCCTGTGTGGCAGAGTTTTGTCTTTCTTCTCCTTCACCAATTTGCAACTATTTGGGGTCTACAGGAAAGTATTGAAGACTTTATTTTTTAAAAGCAGTAATATTTTAGTTTTTATTTCCCGTCACTCAGGTCTGAGATCTTTTGCTTTCTTTTTGTTACTTTTTACTGATTACTTGTTCCTTTAATTCTTTTAGAAATTTTGCCTACTACAGCTACACCAGATTACAAAATATTTGGGGACCCAACATCTGGTTAGTTTTTTTTAATTTTTTGAATTAATGACCTTTACTTTCCTTCAGTTCAGCATTTTCAGCCCTTTTTTCCTTCCTTTTGCACAGTTGGCAATCCTTCATTTTTGTGCTTTTACTCATGTTCCCACTGATGGTAAAGATAGTGAGACTCTTCTCACTCAGCACTTCACCCTGTGTAGTCGCATGTTAACAGCTCATTATTTATTGAGACATCTTTTATTAAAGAGCCTGATTAACATAGATGACATCTTCACTGCACGAAAGTCCACTAAGCTTTATTCTGTATCCCCAGCCATGCATTTGTGAATGCCCCTGTTGGTCATCTCTAGTAGATGAATGGCAGAATTTCATCATCTTCCTCCCTACCTCTCCTTTTCTCCTTCCTCCTTTCCCAGCAAGCTTTTGGCACAAATACACATTTTCTAAAATGTGTATTTTCTATATTTTTAAAATGTTTTAAGTAGTTTGTGCTAATGGAAAACAATATGACATCACAAACTGTCTAGCTTAATGAGCAGTTATGTAGACAAAGGTCTCTTAGAAAATTTTAGGCATTGTTGTCAAATGGACTTTTACATCCTTTCTACTTTCAGTGGTTTTTTTCTAACAGTGTTTTTGCTGTCAGCCCTTGGTGTGTTCCAGGAGTCAGGACCCAGTGCTCCTCTGTTGAACTCAAAAGCAGAACCTTGTTGTTGACTTCAACAGGAGCAAGACTGAGCCCTGATTTTTCTAGTGTTTGTTTGCTCCTGGAACTTGGTCTCTGTTTTCAAACCAAGGGCACATTTCTGACTGGAAAATCTTTGTATGCTTAATTTGTAAAAGTGTGACAAATTATTTTTGTTTGCTTTAGTTTCTGATTATATTTCTGTAACTTGAAGTAATGTCTGAGACAAGTATCTTCCATAGGTATATATATACACACCCGTAATGTAATTTAGAGATGCAATTAGGAAAGCAAAACAAAACTGTGTCATTTGGAAATGCTTATCGAGCAAATTTTCAACCTGGTCTTTTACAATAGATACAATTTAACCTGTTTTTCAAGTCCTGATTGAGCGTGCTTTTGGAGTACTGTCAGATTCTGAGCTGCAGCCATTTGTGCCTAGATCTGCTGGGACAGTAAACACAAAATACTTGAGTGTGCAAAGTAGTCTTTGGATTGTAAACCAATTTGTTTCCTCCTCGTGCATTTTCACATAGGCAATAGTGATTCTGTTCAGTAAGTGTACTACAAAGAAGCCAAGATCTATACAGTACTGTTCCTTAGGAGCCATTACAAAATAGAGGTTAAAAACATTCCTTTCATCGTCCCCTCAAGAAATGGCTTATTCAGCAGTTCCTGGTGTACTGTAGCAGCACTAATGGAGCCGATCTGGTTTCTCAGGAGTAACCTGTAGTAAGCATGTATCTTTCTAAGTAATTTTTTTTTTAAGATGTGTAGAAGGTAATGGAATATGTTGTCTCCAGTGAACAGTATAGCAATTAAGTAGAGTAAGTTCTGCTTTCCATCTCCACCAGTTGCTTACGTTAACTTTTGCATTGCTTTCATGTTTGACCTCTCTGGCTTTTTGGCTAGCAGCTGTTGATGTTTTAATGTATTTTTGTCATACTTAAAAGTTTTGAACCAATTGATTTTAATCAGCCCTCTGTACTTCCATGGGCTGCATTTTGCTGTCAAGTAACCTCCCGTTAAAAGCTGTCTGCAGCTATAGCTTAGATATACCGTGAAACAGTGAGGAAAGCCTGACTGTAATACACATTAATAAAATCTGTTTGCCACCACAGACATGAAGTTCTCCTCAGCTTCCATTACCACAATGGCAAGTATCCCAGTTATATCACCTAGAGTGATTGGTTCCTGGAAACCTAAAGTGACTGGCTCTCGGAAATTTGTAGTTCAAGATGACCCAAACACTTCTGATTATTCTGATCCATTATCAGGTGTCCCAAAGGGTAAGGCCTTACCAGGGAATACATTGCAGCTGAATGGAAACCTGATAGTCTCAGCATTTTCCAAGGTTTAAATGTGACAGCCGTGATTGTTGGGCTATACTTTATACCTGTTTCCTGTGAATATGCAGACAGTGCAATCATGATTCTCATACCTCTTTAATCAGCGTACAAAGTGCTGCTTAGAGCTTATAAGGGGGAGATGCAGATGCTCAGCATCTCAGTGTTGGGGTGCTCCGAAACTCCCATTAAAATCAGTGGATGCACTAAAAAAAAATATATATATATCTGCACCTCTGGTGGTTGTTTTCACATGAGTCTAGTTTGGAAAAGAAAACTAGTCCTTGTGAGCGGTTGCTTACAAGAGCTCAATTTTCTTGTTGTTTTCGTTTTTTTTTGGGGGGTGATGGGAGTAGGGGAGGAAAGGAGGCAAAACTCAGCTCCATGACAGATTCATGTTTTAAGTGGGGCACATCCCAAACTCCTCCTGCCTGCAGCACTTCTGTGAAAATGCGGTCAGATCTGAGTAAGGATGTACTGAATTTCCATTCTCTGGATATGAGGATCCAATTACAAATGATCTCCTCAGTACATGGAGACACAGACACAGTTTTTTTAATCCGAACACAGAAAGAAACATGTACCGCATGTAATTCATCTTTCTGTAGCTGTTCTTTCAGCTAAGTGAAGCTTTGATTAGGCTCTTACAGCAACAAAGATTTCAATTCAGCAGGACTATTGCAGTCAATCAAAGACTCAAGAAACTTCCAACCCCATAAAGAAAACTTAAAAGAAGTCTTCATCAGTGCATAGAATAGCAGGGTGACAGGCATGTTTGCACAATTCTGTATTCTGAAAAATCTCTCTAGCCAAAAAACATTTCTACTTTTATTACCATTCACCAAAACATATCAGGTTTCCTATCAGCCATTACAGCAGTGCATTTGTCATTTTAATTTGTTGCAGTTATTTTCCATTTTGCTTTAAGTTTTTTTTGTTATCATTTGCTCTTGGTTCTGAATCACGTTTTGTGTCATAGCTATTAGTGAACGTTACTCATGTTCTTCTTCTGCACTGTACCATTAAAATCTATAGCCCTGAAAGTTAACACTGTTCAAAGGCCTTGCCTCTAACAAAAATGAATCTGTAGCTTCAGTCTTGCTCTTTTGTTTGAGTGTCCTTTGGGACAGTTAACAGAATTACTTCCATTAAGAACTAACATTATCTTAGCTGCAAGATGTCTGTGGTTGCTCTAAAAAATCGCAAGAAACAAAGGGAGCTGGTTAATACGCGAATCACAAACTAATCCAATATTCAACTTTGTCTAAACAAAAAGTTTTCTAGATTTTAACACTGTATAGTAACTTAACCTGCAAGGTGGTTTTTTTTTCTATATTATGCAAGTATTCTTGTTTGTTATTGACTATAAGTAGAAAGGAAAACTTGTGCTTTAATAGAATGCTGTAATCTTTAACTTAAAAAAATGTATGCTTACCTTATCAAACTGTGCCATTCCAAGGCTAGTGAGCTGTGGATGGATTAGTTTAGAAGTTTTGCACCATATTATATTGATGTGGTTTTAACAATGCAGTACGTAAGTTATACAGTTCTACGTAACATTTGCATAATCCTGTCTATCTTTTGATACTGATTTATGAGTTGGGCAGAAAATTGAGAGAGAAATCCATCTATGAGTTATTAATTGCTGTCTGGCCCAGTAGCACCTTCTAACCTCAATTTTCCAGCACAAATCGTTAATGTTAATAGCATTCAGGCCCCGTATTTGTAAGCCTTAAAGGAAATTTGGGGACAGGCTAAGCAGATAGCATACAGTGTACAACCAAACGTAGTATAAGGAGTGAAGCTCTGACAAGCATCAGAGCTTGTCCAAAGAAAGTAGACAGTCTAAATAGAGCTGATCAGTGCTAACTTGGTCCTTTTTATTTATAAAGTTATTAGCATGCAGTAGTGCTGTGGATTGCAGAGATACTCTAACAGTGGGCACAGAGCACTCAAAAACTTAAGGACACTGCTGTCCTTCTCCAAGGCAGGCTAACTACTTCTGAAATAGATCAGTTTTAAGTATGTGTAAATTTATGATACACTGCATGTCTCTTGCAGGTGTAAGGTGGGAAGTGCAATCGGGAGAGTCCAACCAAATGGTACACATGAATGTCCTAATCACTTGTGTCTTTGCTGCTTTTGTCCTGGGAGCCTTTATTGCGGGAGTGGCCGTGTACTGTTATCGGGATGTGTTTGTACGGAAATCCAGAAAAATACACAAAGATGCAGAATCTGCTCAGTCCTGTACGGACTCCAGTGGGAGCTTTGCTAAACTGAATGGGCTTTTTGATAGTCCCGTCAAGGAATATCAACAAAACATTGATTCGCCCAAACTCTACACCAACCTGCTGACTAGCAGAAAGGAATTGCCACCAAATGGTGATATGAAGTCCATGATGATGGACCACAGGGGCCAGCCTCCGGAATTAGCTGCGCTTCCGACTCCTGAATCCACACCGGTTCTTCAGCAAAAGACTCTGCAAGCCATGAAAAGTCAGTCGGACAAAGCACACAGTAATCTCAATGCTTCACGAAAGGAAACCCCGCTAAAAAGCCCTCAGTTTTTTCCCTCCAGTCCTCCACCCCACTCTCCTCTGAGTCATGGACATATCCCTAGTGCTATCGTTCTTCCCAATGCTACTCATGATTACAATACGTCTTTCTCAAATTCTAATGCGCACAAGGCAGACAAAAAGATGCAACATATTGATCATCCACTTACAAAACCATCCAGCAAAAGAGACCACAGGAGGTCTGTTGATTCCAGGAACACCCTGAATGATTTTCTGAAACACTTAAATGAAACTACGAGTAATCCCAAAGCAATTATGGGAGATATTCAAGTGGCCCACCAGACTTTAATGCTGGATCCAATGGGAAATATGTCTGAGATCCCACCTAAAGTTCCCAACAGGGAGGCATCTTTATACTCTCCACCATCAACTCTTCCGAGAAACAGCCCCACAAAACGGGTGGACGTTCCCACCACACCTGCAGTACCGATGACCTCTTTGGAAAGGCAGAGAGGTTATCACAAAAATTCTTCACAAAGGCATTCAATATCTGCCCTTCCTAAAAACTTAAACTCACCAAATGGTGTTTTGTTATCCAGACAGCCCAGTATTAATCGGGGGGGTTATGTGACTCCCACAGCAGGCACAAAGATGGACTACATGCAAGGAACGCCTGTCAGCGTTCACCTCCAGCCTTCCTTGTCCAGGCAAAGCAGTTACACAAGCAATGGCACTCTTCCTCGTACAGGAATAAAGAGGACACCCTCGTTAAAACCTGATGTGCCACCAAAACCCTCATTTGTTCCTCAAACAACATCAGTCAGACCACTGAACAAATACAGTTACTAGGATGTGTCTGTTCTAAAAATGAGCGTGGCATTGACCTGTACAGGTTGTGAGATGATGTTGTGGTAGACACATAAGACAGAGACTTGCTTGTAATTAAAGAGAACAAAGTGGCCAAAGAAACTGTCTTTACTTCAGCAACATCTGTGTCTTGCCACAGGTAGCTATAGCAAGACTTTGTGTACTTGCTAAGAGCAAATGAAAAAAGAAAAACAAAACAAAGGAAAGTGCTGGTCATTACATTTCTTTTGTTTGGAGCTAAGGAGACATGTAGCACAATGGGGTGGGGGCTACTTTACTGTTCTGAATAGCTAAAAAAAAAAAAAAAAAAAAAAAAAGTTCTTGGTAAAAGAAATCTGTAAGCAAATACTTGAAAAATGGGTTCCATTTTAGACTGCCATTAAGCGTGGTCCTTCCCATTAAATGTGAACATTTTAATATGTATGCATTCACCTTGCCTCTTGCACAAATGTCAGAAAATGGTAATGTCTCAATGAATATCTGGGTTAATAATCAATTTGCTGGAATTCAGTCTCTGGCCCAACTGTAGCATTTATTTTTATTTCTTTTTTCTCCTTGTGCGTGGCATTTTGTTTGTGCCACAGATAAAGCTGTGCGTGTGTGTGGGTGTATGTGTGTACTGTACACACTAGGATGTACTTAGATTCCCATTGCATCTTTTATGCTATGGAATTGTTTACATTGAGCATGACTGAACAAACAGATGACTCTGCCTTCTGCAGCCCATTGGGTTCAGTTTGGCGACAGCCAAGGAAGAACTGCGCATTGCCGCCAGCCTTCTGCGTGACAGCCTTGATGAAGTAGTCACCCAGCAAAAGAGTGCAGATACTTTTAATTCTCCATAACTCTGTTATGCTGCTATCGATTCAGAGCTGTACATTTCAAATCTAGTCGTTTGGGCTGGAATGGGGGAGTTTCTGCTGTGTTTCCACAGTGCCTCCATCCAATACCTGGCCACTGTGAACCTGAGCCCCTGTACTTCTCATTGAGGGCAGCTAATAACAATTCATTTGGCAAAGGCCTGCGTAACTGGAGAAGGTTACACGTTTGTTGCATTTAAAGATGCCCTGTAGCCTGATAGACTCTTGTCAGTGGAAAAAGAAAAAAAAAAAAAAAAAGAGAAAGACAGACACATTAATTGGCCTGGCAGAAGCAGTCTGTGAAAAATCAACAGTAGTGCAATCAGTTTGTTTTTGTTGTTTAATGTAAGGTTGTTTTGTTGTTTTTTTTTTTTTTCCAAAGTCATGCAGGTAATGACAATATTCTGTAAATATTATGTGTGAGTTTACCTGAATCTGTGCATTTTGTGCCTTATTCATGCAAATGATAAAAGTACTAAAAAAAAAAAAAAAACAACCCTGTCAAGTGTTCTCACTATAGCACATATCTCCTGAGTGCCAGTTGTAAAACCTCTCAACAGCACCCTCTCCCCCCCCCAAAAAAAAAGATAATAAGCAAGGATAATTAACAATAACTAAAGGCAGCCTACAATCCAAGAAGACAGCAGCATTAAATCACCTTGCCACGATAAACATTCCACTCCAGCTCTCCGAAGGATCAAACAGTTATAATGTGAAATCAAATGAGGTTTCTAGGGTAATGGAACACCTGCTAAAGTTGTGTAAGCTATTTAGTAGGTTTTACAGTATCCACTTGCAGCTGATGTTCAACACAGATGGCTATTTTAGCTTGCAAACTACACACTACCACATTGTTTATTGAACATAAGTATAGAAATAACCATGGCAGAGGAATGAATTAGCAGGACAAATAACTGCAATGGGTTTCAGAGACGGTGGAGATTTATGGTATGTGTTCAAAGGGGAGAAAAGGTTAGTCACTGAAAACTGGATCTCTTTTACAGAACAAAGAATAAAGGACAGAAGTAGTCATTTTTTCTTGTAAGGCTGTAAGGGACATTTATTTCCTGAGACCTCTGGATCCAAAAAATCAATGATCTCTCTTCCTAAACACTTATGTCTTGCAACTAAAACACTACAGATTAATAACATAAAAATGTACTTGGTTGTCAAAAGACAAAAACTGATCTGAATTCACTCTACAAATATTAATTAATAAAGACTTGTGTGAAATCAAAAGATAAATGTATGTGAACCCTGATAACCTCCTGTAACATTGTGCTGCCTTGTAGATGGTAATGTGAGTTCTCTCAGTATTTATGTTGAAATTTCTAACATTCAACCTAGTCTTCATTCTGTTAATTTAATAATAAAAGATGCTTTATCCATTTGTGCAAAGGTAAACGCAGATTGTATCTTTTTTAATGGTACGGCATAAAAAAGTAACCCTTAAATGAAGCTGCTCTATACTATAGAGTACTTTAACATGTATAGATATCTTGTAAACTTGTATTGTGGATGTGTAAATAATACGTTCTTTGGGTTTTTAACACCGCATGTAAAGTGAAAATAAAATATTCCAATGTACCAAATGTGTAACTTCATTGTTTTAAGGCGGGTTTTAGGTGCACTTGTTGAATTTTAATAGAAAGAAATCTGCTTGCCTTTGGTAGCTCAGTGAGGAAGGCAGAGAGACATCCCCTCAGCAGCATTACAGGGCATCAGACTCGTGCAGCAGGTGATGATGACACACAGGTGTACAGCCATTTTCAGTGCAGTTGCATGTCCACACACATGTTCTTGAGGTTATGCAGATGACTGTCAGCATCCTGAGTGAAATACAAAACATCACAGCAACTAGCACGTATTGAGAGAGCGTAGTGCAGTCAGCGCAGCCATACCAACCAGATGCATTCAGTCTGAAAAACCACATAACATACCTCCATATGAAGCTCCTCCATTGGAGCTTGATCAAGTTGAGTTCTGTTACCTATCAGGCACCTTTGTTAGAATTAGAAATACACCAACTTCAGTGGAGCTCTTGGGGCAGCTCCAGATGAGGGCCACTAAGATGAAAAGAGGACTGGAGCACCTCTCATATGAGGAAAGGTTGATGGAACTGGGATTGTTTAGCATGGGGAAAGAGAAGGCTCCAGGGAGACCTCTTTGCAGCCTTCCAGGACTTGAAGGGAGCTTATAAACAGGAAGGGGAACGACTATTTACAAGGGTGGATAGTGATAGGACAAGAGGGAATGGTTTTAAATTGAGACAGGGGAGGTTTAGGTTGGATATTAGGAGGAAGTTTTTCACTCAGAAAGTGGTGAGGCACTGGAACAGGTTGCCCAAGGAGGCTGTGGATGCCCCATCCCTGGAGGCATTCAAGGCCAGGCTGGATGTGGCTCTGGGCAGCCTGGTCTGGGGGTTGGTGACCCTGCACATAGCAGGGGGTTGAAACAGGATGATCTTTGAGGTCCTTTTCAACCCAGGCCATTTTATAATTCTATGATTCAATTACAGAAAAGTTTTGAAACAGGATTGTTTTTTCCTCTTGAAATATAGGCTACAAAAAGATAGAGATCATTCTTGGCAAATTAATTACAGACCTACACATAGCAGGACATTCCAACATACTTAGTAATGCTTGATACTTGAAATTCACCTTTCAGGCAGACAATAAAGCCTAACAGAAAGATACACGCTTTACATTTAGGATGTGCCAACAGCACAGATAATTTTAAAATAATCAGGGTCGTTTAGTATCACAATATAAATATGAAATATTCTTTTAATTAAAAGCTGATTTTAGATAATGGATAAAAATTATTTCTTATGAGATTGTGGTGTCACAGTATTAATCATCCAAAGTTACTGTGCATGTTAGAACAATACAATGACACCTGGTTCCATCTTACTGGGAAGAAAAAATTAAAGGGAAAGGAAACAGTGCTTAAAAAAAAAAAAAAACCCCAAAATATAAAGCACAATGTGTATTTTTCTAGTACAGGAACAAATATTTATTTTTATTAATTTGTTGTAAGCCTGTGCAGCTTTTCTACTACGCCTATGGTAAGAAGGTGTCAGCCAGAACAGCCAGAGGAGTTCTTTATGGAGGAGCACTGCCTTCTGAAGTCCATCTGCTTGAGTGATTACCAGCCTTTGAGAGCTGGGGTATGGGACATTACAAATAGTGCACACGAAGAGTCCATCTAGGACACAGAGAATGAAATACAATCATTCATTTTGATGCCCTCTGAAGCAGCCTTCATAACCCACACGATGTGGTGCCAGGCAACCCAGTAAGCCCTCCTGGGTGCATTCACACATATGGAAAAGCATTGCTGAGAGAGGGAGGAAACATACGAGACAGGCTGACCAGCGCAGCAGCACAGCCTGCTGCAGGAGCACCGGGACGGGGTGAGGCCCCTCTCCTCTCAGACTTCCTTCATCTTTTTGCAGCCAATCACAACATGATTGTCTGCAGCACGCAGGCAAGTGAAAAAGACAAAACATAACAAAAACACACTGCCAGCACACAGTAGCAAGATGATGATTGCAAGAAAACCAATTTGTAAGGCTGTAAGTAGCTATCTGTATGACTGTGCTGCCAGCACGAACCTATGGCCTTTTAAATTGGGGTCTTAAAGTAATCAGTGCAGTTACAAAATTCAGGATGCCTCTGTCTTAGTGCTGTCTTGCTAATGGCTCACTCTGTGACCCCGGCAAGATTATGCAGAGCTTAGTCAGTGTAATGGAGCCTGGAAAGGCAGTGCTCAGCTGCAGTAGGCACAGTTCCTCTGTTGGTAATGCTTTCCACTTACTGAGGTTTTATCATTTTTCCTCTCCTTTTGTGATTCTGAGCGCTAGCGAGGATATCTTGCAGGTAAATAAAGGGAAGGAGAAGTCTCTTCCCGTCTGGGAAAGGTTAGTATTGGCAGGAGCGGGGAGGAGCTGCTATTTCTCCAGGCACCCATTAATTTAATGGATAGGAAAATGTTTTTTAAAAATTGATCAGGACAAAATACCATCATAAATGCAGCATCTGGACTTCAGCTGGGAAGTGCAAGCTTTTCATATAAAAAGCAGTACCAGGAGACCCACCTACCCAGGCTGCATTTGTTGTTCAAATGTCATCGTAGCGCAGTATGAAAGAGCAAGAAACCAAAGGATTTGGGAGGAAAAAAACATTAAATATTTAATTAGGTTCAGCTCAGAGAGCTATAGATACTCATATTTTTATTCAGTCATACTAAAATGCAGCTGGTGTGAGGGCCTGACTCCGTACCGCTGCTGTTTGCCTGCAAACACTTTGTAGACACACTGCACTGGCCAGACACACATCTGAAATTATCATCTATCCTGAACTCTCAACCAAGAAAACGTTTCTGCTCTGCCTGAAATGAAATTTATTGGAAGCTCTGATTTTATTAGTGCATTCTGAATTCATCCGATGACCTGATTTATGGTCTGCTTTCTTGGGATTTTTTTTTCCTACAGTCACAAACAACTTTTCCAAGCTCTGCTTCTTAAAACTGTAACTAAATCCAAGCAGTGAAAGCCACTGACCAGAGCAGGGATGCCATAGGGTGCCCACATTTAGGCAACATCTGTGAATTCCTTGGACATCAGCAGGGATGGTGAGACCTCTGCCAGACTGGTGCCTCTGTCCTCCACATCAGCCAGACAGCGATAGCTCCTGTGAGCCTCCAGCTGCTGAAAAACTGCAGGAGAATGAAAGCAGAAGAAAATCTACCACATGGATAACCTGTCCTGACCATTGGTATGAATGGTTCCATCTATCAACAGAAAAAGAAGCTTACTACAGGAAAACCTGGATGGCAAATAAGTAAATAAATACTCCAACCCCCCACAGATCTTGCTGTCCTTGTTTTGTGAGTTACGGGCTGTTTTTCCAAGGAAGAGTCCCTCCAACTTGAAAGAAAATGAGCAAAGAATGCCAGTTCTTTATGAAAGCTCTTCTGTAGGATCATACCTGGCTGTAAAAGCTGTTCTGTAACTTTTTCCAGTAGCTGACCTTGCCATTGGCAAAGGCAGACCATGAGCTAACTGGTTTGCTTCTGTAGCTGTCTGACAGCCATCAGCATGTGTCTATTCCTGCACAAAAATGGACGGCTGCCTAGAAAGAGAAGAAAGGTGGCAATTGGCTTTTAATGTGGGTCACTTTAAGCACAGCCTTATTTCTCAACCCTTTGATTTACAGTGCTGGTCCCACACGAGGAAAAAAATAATCAGAAGTAGACCAGAGCAGATGAATCATAAAAGCAATGCACACACTAGCTGTGCTTCCCTTTCTGTGCAATGAATATCCATGTGATTACTCCCATTTCCTCTGGAATACATATTGGTCAATTAACAGCTTGAGATTTTTTTGTTACGGACTAATGACAAATTTTTATAATCAGGCCATGCTGTATAACCATGAACGGCTATTAGTCACAGGTTATTGTGCCTGGCCAACGATTAGGTGAGCGAGAAGCACTTCCAATATTAATGCTGTGTGTGAGAATTGATTTCTGTGAAGGCTTGTGCATGCAGCTCTCACATTCAGTCTCTGCCACCGCTAGCACAGGTGAAATACTGACTCCATCGAATGCAATAGCAGAGCTGCATGGGGCCA